CTCAAGTTTACTCTTTCTTTAGCAATATCTAAACTGCTATGGTTAAAAAAAAAAAAAATCTAAACTGCTATTAGGCCTACCCAGAGTACTGGATTTTTCATTTGTAAACATTTCATTTGAATCTATCGTATATCCTTCATTTCTCTCCTCATTGTGTTCATATTTTCTTTTACATGCTTGAGTATATATGGAAAATTTATAAAAGCTGTTTTTAGGGGGCTCAGTCGGTTAAGCATCTGTTTTTGGCTCAGGTCATGATCTCGAGGTCCTGGGATCGAGCCCTGCATCGGGCTCCCTGTTTAGAAGGGAGCCTGCTTCTTCCCCTGCTTGTGCTCTCTCTCTCTCTCCGACAAATAAAATCTTTTAAAAAAAACAAACAAAAACGCTGTTTTTAGGTCTGTCTGACAATTCTATCATTTCTGCCATTTCTGGGTCTGTTTCTCTTGATGTTTTCCTCCATTATGCATAGTTTCCTGCTTCTTTATGTGACCAGTATGTTTTCAATTTGTTTTTATTGTGGCAAAATATACATAAAATTTGCCATCTTAACAATTTCTAAGTATATAGTTCAGTGGTATTAAATACATTTACACTATTATGTAACCATCACCACCAACCATCCCCAGAACTTTTCTTCTTGTAAAACTGAAATGCCATACTCTCAGAATGAGAACTTCCCATTCTCCAATCCTTCCAACCCTGGCAACCACCATTCTTACTTTGTTTCTATGTTTTTAAGGACTCAAAAACCTCATGTAAGTGGGATCATATTTATCTTTTTTGTGACTGGTTTATCTCACCCAGGATAATGTCCCCGAGGTTCATGTATGTTGTAGCATCTGTCAGAAATTCCTTCCTTTTAAGCCTGAATAATCTTCCACTGTATGTATATACTACATTTTTATTTTCCATTCATTCATCAGTGGCCACTTGGGTTGCTTCCATGTTTTAGCTACTGTGAATAATGTTACTATGAATGCGGGTGTACAAATATCTCTGAGACCCTGCTTTTAATTCTTTTGGGTATACACCCAGACGTAGAATTGCTGGATCATATGGTAATCCTAGTTTTAATTTTCTGAGGAACCGTCATAGTATTTTCAACAGCAGCTATATCATTTCACATTCCCATCAACAGTGCACAAGGGTTCCAATTTCTTTACATCCTTTCTGGTTTTGTTTTGATAGTAGCCATCCTAATGGGGGTGAGGTGGTATCTCATTGTTTTTAATTTGCATTTCCCTAATGTTTAGTGATGTTGGCCATCTTTTCATGTGCTTATTGGCCATTTGTGTATACATCTTCCTTGGAGAAATGTCTATTCAAGTCCTTTGCCCATTTTTGAACTGGGTTTGCAAGTTATTTTTTTTTATTGCTTATTGTTGCTTAATTTTAGGAGTTCTCTACATATTCTGGAATTTAATCCCTTATCAAATAAGAGATTTGTGAATATTTTTCCCCTTTCTGAAGGTTGCTTTTTACTCTGTTGATAGTGTCTTTGGATGCACAAAACTTAATTTTTGTGAAGTCCAATTAGTCTTTTTTTTTTTTCATTTTTTAAAAAGATTTTATTTGACAGAGCACAAGCAAGGGGAGGCACAGAGGGAAAAGCAGGCTGCCTGCTGAGCAGGGCTCAATCCCAGGACTCTAGGACCCATGACCTGAGCTGAAGGCAGGCATTTAACTGAGCCTAACGACTGAGCCACCCACGCGCCCCTCTGTAGGCTCTACTGAACTATTCCTGGCCCTCTGTAAACTTTGGTCTACTACTTTCCAGTGGTTGTTCCATGAACTCTATAGAGTTTTACCCCCCAGACAGAAAAATAAGTACTCAGCCAAGAACTCAAGACTACTACTCCACACTATTTTGTAGTACTTTGTCCAACTTATAGCCACCTTAGTCATTCTGATCTTTGATCCCTATCTCAATTGAGCAAGACCACTGGAAAAATAATCTGTATATCCAAGGCCAAAAAACTCAAAGGGATCCACACTTAAGACACATGGTAGTAAAAATGTCAAGAGAAATCTTGAAGCACAAGCAAACAATTTGAGCAAGACGCTAATTTCAGATTTGCTTGGAAAAAAGTGAACGCCAGAAAAATGCACCCAGCTGAATTAAACTGCCTAATAACATACAAAACACACAAAACCTCAATATACGTTGGTACATCAATTCACCGTTAAGCTACACCCATCCCCGTCAGGTGCTGCAACTTGGTCATGTTTCAGATAACCCTCCTCCTACCACTTTGCAATGACAGCTGCAACTTAAAATATCCACTGCCAAGCAAGCTTTAGGTGTTTCTCAAGGTAAAGTGGCGTATTTAATGTAGTATTTCTTAACCGTTTAACACATGTAGATCTGTTTCTATTAGGTGTTTTTTTTTTGTTCCTGATGAAGTTTTTGAGTTTTGTGCCCTTAACCACATTTGTCCTCTAAGTCCTATGGTTTCTATCACATAATTTTGCATTATCATGATTTTTAGGAACGTCATTTACAGATCTGACTATATGGCAAAATGTCAATAATTGTTAAGTTTAGGTGGAGGGTATTTAATGTTCATGACGTTCTTTAAACTTTATGTATTTGAAAATTCTCATAATAAAAAGTTAAGGGTTAGGAATAGCACTCAAGAGAAAAAAAAAACAAGTATGCAAAATCTCTGCCCCACTAGAGCACAATACTATCCCTTCTCATTATTAAAAAGCATACCTTTTAAATATTTAACAAGATACATCTCCCTTTTAGAATTACAGAACTATATAAAACCCTCTTTTTTGGGGTGCGTGGGTGGCTCAGTTGTTAAGCGTCTGCCTTCGGTTCAGGTCATGATCTCAGGGTCCTGGGATCGAGCCCCACGTCTGGCTCCCTGCTCCGCGGGAAGTCTGCTTTTCCCTCTCCCACTCCCCCGCTTGTGTTCCCTCTCTGTCAAATAAATAAAATCTTAATAAATAAATAAAACCCTTTTTGAGCAGTCTCATTTGGTCTCCCATTACCTAAAATAGAACTGGCTTAGATTATTTCATCAACTGTTGTAAAACCTGAGTCAAACCCTACACAAAGTGGTTAGTGGTTTAATTTATATCAAAACAAATTTAACAGAAAAACAAGTAAGAAATATTTCCTTGGCAGAGTTCCCTTTAAGAATTTTGTTATATTGGCAGCAGCTCTTTCTGCCCACAGGTCCTGTCCCCGTGCTTTAATAAACCGCCGTTTTGCACCAAAGATGTCTCAAGAATTTTCTTAGTCGTCGGCTCCAGACTCCACCCCACTGAATCTCACGGGTATTCCAAAACCTCATTTGGCGCCTGAACGTGGAGCTTTCAGTCTTTACATCTGGACTCTGAGCTTCAGTGCAAAATTGGTACTTTCCTCTTCCTTTACTCTCATTCCAGGGGACCTTCAAGGAGTACGGTCTTACTGGAACTTTCACGTCAATTGGCCAGGCTGCTCTATGAGGAGAAAGTCTGCCTTTTGGCTGGAAGTTGGTACCCTGGCCGGGATGGTAATAAGACCCAGAAACTTGATGCCCTCTCTTTACTGCTGTCTTTATATGAAGTCGTCTGTCTTTGAGCATGGGACAGCCACTTAAGTCACCAAGACGGCTGCCAATCTTAAGATTCCTGTGTGAGGTTTCCTCCTGATTGATCTAATTGATCCCCTTCACATCCCTGGTCTACCCACTTCTGGCTGAGGGACCTTCACTGGGAGCTGGCCGAAACCAGTACCCGATGGAATTAAAGCCCAACTAGGGACCGTTTCTTAGGGAAGTTGGCTGTAAAGACCACGTGTTGGAATGTTGCTTAGATCATGATGGATTTCTATCTTTACTATTTTCCATCAAAAAAAAATTGTTATATAACCAATTTCTATTATTTAGATATAGCCTACAAACCTTGTGCTGTGTAATTAATGGATAAATTCAAATATAAATCATTTGATTACAGTATTTTGACTTAAAATTTTTAGAATATACTTCATTTTGTACCAGCTAAAAAAGTGTATTTTACAACAAGCTAATATCCATTATAATGGGAGTAAACTGAATTACTAAATTCCAGATAATCCAGAAATAGCCATCTAATAAGCACACTAAGCCTTACCACTTACCAAATTATTTTAATCAACTACTTGTCAGATGCAAAAGAAACTTCTGACTGGCTGGCTGAAATCACTGCTCCACAAATGCGGAGCCCCGGTTGTTTTCATAATACTCCTTGTGAAATACAGGCCAGGAGAAGGGTAGGCCAAGTGGTACCACAATGCATAGGCCCAATTTATGGTCCACATCAAAGGCTTGCCTTTATCCATGAAAACTTGTGCCTGACCTAGAGTGTGCAGAACTGACTGTAAGGAAGCCAGAGCATGAGACTAGTTTGGAGATCTTACACAATTCATGTCAATAGACGATGCCTGTGTTAGGACAGAGGCAATGAAGAGGTTCCACACCACTGAAATGACATATTAAGAATCCCTATGTATAAGATTTGCTACATATACACATATAGTTTTATTTGTAAAAGGACTCCCAATTAACACAATAATGGTTATATTCTTGAAGACAAGGATTGGGATGATAGGGTGGAGGGAACTTTTCATTTTTCACTTAATATCTTCCTGTACTGTTAACTTTTTGAGAGAAAAAGAATGTGAAAGCATGCACACACACGCACAAGCGGGGGAGAGGGAGAAAGAATCTCGAGCAGACTCCCCAAAGAGCCTGACACAGGGCTCCATCTCACAACCCTGTAATCATGACCAGAGCCAGTCAGACACTTAACCAACTGAGCCACCCAGGTACCCCCTTACTGTTACCTTTTAAAATAGCATATATACCACTTTGATATGATATTTTTGTGTAACTGGGGATTTATCAGGGTGATGAGCATACTGGGCCATTTAAAAATTCTCAAAACTTCTGTTAAAAAAAAAACACAAAAAACCACAAAACTTAAAGCACTCAGGATTGAGACCTAAGAAAGTCAACAGGCTAATGTGAACTCATTTTTTTCTCTTCTTACATAGATTTTTCAAGAATATCAGAAGTAACAGAATGTTGGGGGAGAAGGCCCAATAAATTAATCTGCTTTTTGAAACCAAACATTTAATATTTTAATTAAGTTTTGTCAATACAATTTCAAGCAAGTGCCAACTGAAGAGCAGGCCTAGGAATTCACAAAGGAAACAATCTTCCAAACAGCAAGGAACACCAAGGTGATCTTCCACTTCAGATGCACTGTTAGTGGCCACAGTGGTGCCAGTTGGCCAGTGTTTATCCAATTACCGAGTGTTTACCTGACAAGAAAAAAACTTGAGTTCCGATAGAATTTTAATGATCAAAGAGGTTTTGGGCAATTACCAAAGCCTATTTTACAAGTGTGAAAAGTGTAAAAAGTATGTATTGTTATCACCTTGTTGACCAACAAGTAACATTTACCACCCTGCTCCCCTCCCAAAACTCTTGGGAAAAAAAAAAAAACGCCTTTTCGACCCTGTAGGGAAATTCACATTCTATTTACACTTACCACATCATCAATTTTCAGAATGCTCCGGACAGTTTCAGTTGCTAGAGTCAGTGCACTGACTGAAACCAACAAAGGCTGGACAACCAGTTCCTCCAAAATATTGGAAATACCACCCTGCCAAATAGCATAAATTGCTTTTAGTGTCTGTAATTATACAGCTTACCAACTACACACTGTTACCAGTAGGACACAAGGCCTTTCGAACCTAGTTTTCCCTTGTTCTAGTCAAAAGTAAAATACTCTCTACTAAGCTCTATATTGTAGGTTCCATTTAACAAAAATTTGGAAAAACTGAATTAATGCTACATTCCCCCAATTCCAACCCCAAAACAACTCCTAATTACCTTTAACTTAAAAATACCCAGGCAAAAATTAGGTAATCATACTCATTAAAAATTATAAGATCTTGGGACGGCTGGGTGGCTCAGTTGGTTAAACGGCTGCCTTTGGCTCAGGTCCTGGGATCAAGTCCCACATTGGGCTCCCTGCTCATTGGGGAGTCTGCTTCTCTCTCTGCCCCTCTCCCTTCTTGTGCTCTGACAAATAAATAAAACCTTAAAAAAAAAAATTGTAAGATCTTTCATGTTTAAATCATCCCTGAACCCTAATACTGAATATGGCCAAGTCTGGTCTGCCTTGCCTTTACAGCTCTTAAATCCCACTTTTAAACTGTTACTGGCACGATCTCAGTCCCCCTTCTCTCAGGGTTACTGCATCATGTGATGATGGCCATAACAGGCAACCATGCCTCCAGCCTTTCCTCCTTAAAATACTCTTTTTCATCATCTTAGCCTTGGTTAAAAAAACATTAGTAGTTCCCAACTACTGGAATAAAAACAAAACTCCCCAGTAACTGCCCCAATACTCAAAGGCCTCCTTATTCTAGCTCTTATGGGAGCTTTCCAACCTTAAAGTCCACTCTATTACCAACATATAATCCTCTAGACAAAACAAGTAATTTCTTGGTTCCTTTCACCCATAAAACATTTGCTTCCCCACGTGGAATTTCCTCATCTCCTACCAAAGTTGCACCTTCATAAAGCTTTCCCTAACCAGGCAATGCCCTTCCTTTTGAGTTATCATTCAAAAAAATATTACTTTGGATTGTCAATTATTTTCCATTATGTGTAATTAGTCTCTTCAGTAAAAGGAGACATTAATAAAGCACTAATACAAAAGGAGAGATTATTACTGTTAGATGTGTTTACCCTACACAACTATACTAGGCTACTGGCCACAACAGCAGCAATGATTAATATTTATGTAATGTTTACTCTATGCCAGGCAACTTAGTAAGAGTCTTCTAGCTGGTAATACATTTAATCCTCACAAGAGAACTTTGAGGGAACTATTAATTGTCCCTGTTTTTACAACTGAGAAAACAAGCACAGACTAAGTAACCCACTAAGAATTACACAATCAGTGTAATTTCCCCAAAACTTGACTACCTAATAACCCGCTGAACAAATAATACTTTACCTTAACACATCCTCTTCATTCTTACTCAATGGCATAAATTAGTTAACCTGCAGTTCTCATATTTGGATCCGAGATTACTTTTTTTTTAAGTCATCTCTACACCTAATGTGGGACTTTGAACTCATGACGTGGAGATCAAGAATCATATGCTCTTCCAACTGAGCCAGCCAGGCACCCCTAAACCCAAGATAACTTTTTTTAAAAAAAAGACTTACTTATTTGAGAGAGAGTGAGCACAGGTGGGTAGGGGCAAAGGGAGAGGGAATCTCGAGCAAACTCTCCACTGAGCGGGGAGCCCAACACAGGGCTCGATCCCACAACACCAAGATCATGACCTGAGTCAAAATCAAGAGTCAGACGTTTAATCGACTGAGCCACCCAGGTGACCCCCAAGATTACTTTTGATTAAAAAGCTTTTCATCCAGGCAATCCTCTTGGGTCCCCTCCCTCTTTGGGAGCTTTGTACTGTATCATTCAATAAACTTTATTATTGATCAATAAACCTTGCTTCGCTGCCCACCAAAAAAAAAAAGGCTTTTCATTCAACAGATAATTATGAAGTTTTTAACATTTCAATCGACATTTTCTACAATAATTAAAGACTAAATTATTACCTTTCGGACATTAATGCCGGTAGTTTTTTCTCCTTGGGCATGCCGGTTTCTTAGTTCTGTTACTGTAGAAATAGGATTCAGGCCTGCATTTTCAGCTAGTGTAGATGGAATGACTTCCATAGCATCTGCAAAAGCACGAATGCAGTAGGATTCCATGCCACTCAATGTTCGTGAATATTCAGTTAACCGTAGGGCCAATTCTATCTCTGGAGCACCACCTCCTGCAATAAGAGCTCTGAAATTCACAAATACATTTTTAGCTTATTTTAGCTATTTTTAATAACTTACTCTTTATACCTTAAAAATAGTCAAAAGTATAGAAATGTTAACGTTCAAAATTTTACTCAGTAACTTATATTACCTCTTCTTCACTAAACAGCGAATAACACATAGGGCATCATGAATGGAGCGCTCAGCTTCTTCAATCACCAATTTGTTAGATCCCCGAACAACAATTGTAACTGTTTTTCCAGGGCTTGTACACCCTGTAATCTGTAGTAAACAAACTCCAAATTAGGTATTTGAAATAAGGGTTAAAACAAACAAAAAACCCAGGTAAATAAAAGCTGTATTACAATACTGTTACCTTAAGCAGTTTGCCAGAACCATTTAAATTGACCTCCTCAGCTAACTCAGCTGATCCCAGCATGTCAGCAGTGAATTGGTCAATATGAGCAACTGGCTTGGTTCCAATTGTCTGGGGAAAAATATCAAACCCACAGATTAAGACAACATTTGATTATTGGATATTCTCACACAGAAGCTAGGAATATTTTACCTTACAAATGAATTCGATGTCTTCTCTTTCAATATCCTTAACCACCATAATCTTCATTTTGTTTAGGAAATGTAATGCAAGATCACTAAGAGCATCTCTAAAATATAAAATCAGTGATTAGGTCAATGCTAGATTAAAAAAATAATTTGTTCAACTTCTTTTTAAGCTTTTTGTCATTTTATTATTGTTTAAATGATGAATAAATCTAATTATTTGTATAGGAAGATGCTTTAAATTTAGTTGACCAAGTTTATGAGCTCAAAACTCTTTGAAGATTTCTAATGGATATTAAAATGTACCCCAGCAACACTATTTGTAAAAGACACCATAAAAGGTAACTATTGTCATAGTTTTTTTTTTTTTTTTTTTAAAGATTTTATTTATTTATTTGAGACAGAGAGAATGAGAGACAGCATGAGAGGAAGGAGGGTCAGAGGGAGAAGCAGACTCCCTGCCGAGCAGGGAGCCCGATGCGGGACTCGATCCCGGGACTCCAGGATCATGACCTGAGCCGAAGGCAGTCGCTTAACCAACTGAGCCACCCAGGCGCCCTATTGTCATAGTTTTTAATACTAAACGAGTATATCTTTGATAACAAAACTTTATTGATATTTCATGAATTTAGAAGTATGATTAATTCAAGACTCCACAAATTTACACTTTCTCACAAATTATCTGGAACAAACCTTCTGACAACCCTGTGACACTGGAAGGGTAGATATTACGATCCCTGTTCTACAGATAAGCTAACTAAATTTTGAGGAGTTTACTTAAGGTCACTACCTATGATATGACTTGGTAGGAGAACCAGGTAATCAAACTCTTCATTGAAGTTTCTATATAAAATAATCACCCACAGTACTTTCTTGCATAACATTAGTAGAGTACAACGGAATGTGTGTACTTACTAGAAGAAAACACTGAAGGAAAAAAAAAAAGGACCAGTTCGAAATTTGAAAAATTCTTTTGATCCATGAACTATCCTGCATTCCCTTCAAAAGAACTTCTAAATTTCAAGGCAAGCAATTTCATGGACCTTTAAATAAATGCCTCTTTCAGCTAGCTAATCAATTCTAGATCAAACTTACCTTTTCAAAAACAAAGCATTCCATTTGTTTGATATTTAGAATCTTGGTCTAGAAAGAACATACAGTTGACCCTGGAACAATGAGTTAATTAGAGGCACCAACTCCCCCTCTCCAGTCAAAAATATGCATATAATTTTTGACTTCCCCAAAACTTGACTACCTAATAACCTGCTGACCAAAGCCTTACTGATAACATAGTTAACTAGTATTTTGTATGTGCATGTATCATATGCTGTATTCTTACAATAAAGCTAGAGAAAAGAAAATGTTAAGGAAACCACGAGGAGGGGCGCCTGGCTGGCTTAGTTGGAAGAATATGCAACTCTTGATCTCAGGGTCATGACTTCTAGCCCCATGCTGGGTGTAGAGATTAAATAAAAGTAACTTAAAAACCATGAGGAAAATACACTTATAGTACTGTACTGTAAAAAAAAAAAAAAAAAAAAAAAAAAAAATCCACACATAAGTGGACCCACACAATTTAAACCTGAGTTGTTCAAGGGTCAACTGTATATCCCACACATTTAAATCATCACAATGGGAAGAGAACCCACTTTAGAGGATTTATCAGAATACAGTGCTGTCCCAAAATGCAGACTCATTCTAGATTTCTAGTGATTTATCCACTCCAAATGTTTCTTAAAAAACTGCTAGAGGATCCAAAATAAACTGTCATTAAAAGGTGAACAAAATAAAGAGCCCCGCACCTCAGAATAGACTTCTGTATGAGAAGGACATTACATCCTGTTTTTTTAATTTGCTTCACTAAATTGAGAATATAGGCTCTCTCCTCCCGCAGCACACGGTCCATCTGGACATAGTCAGAAACTACTATTTGATTATCCATCTGTTGAGAAAAAAGAACATCGTATTAATAAATTGCATTGTATCCATTCTGAGTCTATTTTTGTGTGTGGTATAAGGAAATGGTCCAGTTTCATCATGGAACACTGCATCAAAATAAATAATAGGAAAAAAATTGCATTATAATAGTTAAGTGAAAAGAACAGACTTTTAATGAAAAATATTATGTATCATGTAAATTCAACCAAAATCATACCTAATAACAAATTAGAGGCATACATAGAAAAGGTCTAGGAAAATGAATATACACCAACCTTAACTAAGGTCTTTAACTTTCATCTATATACCTTACTGTCTTATTTACATTATTTGCAAGTACATTTTTGGTAATTGTAAAATGGTTACTCTAGTTCCTGAATATGTCAATTTTCTTCATACAAATATATGCGTTACTGAAGTAATTTCAGTTGCATCCTTTTAACTCTGTGGCTTGTTATAAAAACTGGTATGCTGAAAGGAGGTACCAGGGACAAATCTTGTTAATCAAAGGTGTATAAAACATTAATTTTTCTATGGGTTGAACTTTTGTGAAACACATGACTGAGTCAACAGGAAACCTATATGCCAATACAATGTAAAAGGAGAGCAAATCTAAGCAAGTGACAAGATCAACCACTCCCTTTTGGAAATAGCACTTATGATGAAAATACCTTTAAAAATATTTATTTGGAATATAAATAGTAAGCTGGTTTCAACTTTCATTTGTGCAAATGTAGGACAAAAGATCTGCCCTGCTGCTATAGGAGGGATGGAGGTTTCTCAGAAACCTACAAAGAAACTGGAAATTCCACTTATACTGTAACTTTTGGATAATCTATTTTTATTATTTCATACATAGCGCCCCTACTGTTATTTGCCTTCATCTATGAAGTCAATGCTCAATTTCAATGATAGCCAACTGAAGCTATAGATTTGTCATGTATGGCATCCAACAATTTCTACTTTTGTCTCAACCGTACTAATTCTTTTGTAATCTATGATCTTTATCACTAGTATCACTATATTTTCTATTTTTATAATATCGAACAAAGGTCCAAGCTATTAGAAAGTTACGCACATAAACAAGGAACCAATTTCATTTGGTTTTACTTACATCTGTTTTGGGAGCAGATAAGCAAAACTGGATAAGCCCAATCTTAGCCTTTTCAACTCTGGTTATGCCAGAATTTGCCACCTTTTGAGTAAGTACCAGCCCTTCGACCAGCTCACAGTCATCAATTGTCCCACTAAGAAAAAAGGAAACAAGGAGGAAACCATTAACAAAGGATGGAAATCTGTCAGTTTAATAGGTTGCTAACATTAAAAATCACCAGTCCAATAAAATGTGAGTCAGTCTCACATTTATTAGTGCCCTAATTCCTCAACTTCTTTGATTATGCTACCACCTTGCCATCATAATGGAATATAAACAAATTCTTCAGATTCCCACATTAATACAAATTCTTAGATTACTTTTTAAAAAAGATTTGTTTACTTATTTGTCAGAGGCAGAGAAAACGCATAAGCAGGGGGAGAAGCAGGCTCCCTGCTGAGCAAGGAGCCCGATATGAGACTCGATCCCAGGACCCTGGGATCATGACCTAAGCCAAAGGCAGACACTTAACCAACTGAGCTACCCAGGGGTCCCTTTAGAGTAGTTTTTATTAAAATTATAATTAGAAATGCTCACCCAAGTTTCTTAACGATTTTAATGTCTCTAAGATCTACACCAGTAGCGGTGGCTGGGTCAATCACTTTCATCACTGCATTTACACTCATTGGAGAAAGCAGACTTGAATACTGAGAGACAACCTAGAATTAAAAAAATAATAAAGTCAGCTTCACAACAGAAAAAGTCCTAGTTCTTTAGTGATAAAGATCTTCAAGAAGTAATCTTAACTACTTTTTTGGGGTGATGAGGAGAGTGGGAACATGAGACAACATTCCATACCAACTGTCTTCTCCACTCAGGCTGTCAGTCACCAAGGGCACAAGATATGGAGGCTTCTTTTCCTTTTTATTAACCTAGTAGATAGGACTGTCTAGATTACTAATTCTATAGAAAATCCGAAAATCAAATTATATGCAGACATTTCTTATCTAAAATGAATTTCTGAGCAAATGCTATATATGTGCACCCCTAATACTGAGGGGCTAATAAAAACTAGGCTAACACTTTACTAAGCACTTATTGTACATGAGACAGTGGTCTTAGCCCTTCACATTATATATGCATTCAATCTTCAGAGGAAGAAATTCAAAGAGTCACACAGCTTAGTCAAGTGATGAGCCCAGCACTAAACCCAAGTCTATGACCAATGCCTGTTAATCCTGCTATTCTGTCTATATTGGATCTGGGGACATTCAACAATATCATGTATGTCACTAACACTATCTAGCTCTCCATATAACAGTGAAAGAAAATAAATGTATCAATATAATGCTGCTAAAAAAATGGGGGGGGGGGTTGGTGACACAGGACCTGACAGAAAACAAGAACATTAAGTTTGCAAGAAATTTAAAAAAAAATCAATGGTTTAAATTTGAAAACTAAGAAAAGGAGCAATGATTATTAGTTAAGAGGGACCACTGATGGGCAAACCTGTCATGGTTCCAATCTCCACTTATCCCTTACTGATAGTCTTGGGATTAGTTACTTAACTTCATTAGATCTATTTTCCCATCTGTAAAATGGGCACACAGTTTATTTGACAGCCCTGAAGGAAGAAATTTGATGTGAACTTATTCAGTTATACAAATTACCTCAGTTACCCAGACACTCCAGACCTAATGTTTATGAACTGTATAGCATCAAAAATCACAACCTAAGAGTTACAATTTTTTTTTTTTTTAAGATTTTATTTGACAGAAAGAGACACAGCAAGAAGAGGGAAACAAGCAGAGGGAGTGGGAGAGGGAGAAGCGGGCTTCCCGCCAAGTAGGGAGCCCGATGCAGGGCTTGATCCCAGGATCCTGGGATCACGACCCGAGCTGAAGGCAGACGCCCAACGACTGAGCCACCCAGGCACCCTAAGAGTTACAATTCTTAACGAGCTTTAAGAAGTAATTTTATAATGATCCCTTAGTACTGGTCTCACCTTTGAGTTCAGTGAAGTGGTGGCACTATTTAATAAAGTTTCTCTGTCACTCAGTTCCACAGGTCGAGACATGTCAGTCAAGACTTCTATACCCTTTTCCAAAGCCTTCTGGAATGACTCAGAAATGATGGTTGGATGAATCCCTGTTGTTTGTTAAAATTTAGTTATTATAACACATAAACTACGTATGACACCTCTTAAAATTTTTTATTCATTATAATTTCAAAGTAGTCATAATTTTTAAATCATCTAAATTAACTTAGGCTTCAATTATAAATAAAACAGTCTGAATAACCTTAACTGCTGTTATGGCTAGTAATTTATTTCCATTAATTTGGAACAGTCAATTCTGCACTCATGTGATATTTATACTTTTTAAAACACCACAAATCTAGGTAAGAAATAGAGTAAGTGACTAGAGAGTCTCCACTATGATTAAGCACTATTTACCAGAACAAGAACCCATACTACCTCTCCCAAATCACCATTCTCATCTAGAGCCTAAGATTTAGTACCACCACAACTTATTTTAGAAAAGCAAAATTTTATCAAGTTCCATTCAAAATGAAGCCTGGTGGAAAAAAAAAATAAACAAGAAGAGAAAATTTTCTTATTCATATGATACAGCAAAATTTATCCTAAAAATTCCTAATAAAATTAGTTATTCCAAATCAAATACCAAATCTATTACTTAATAACTTTTGACCTTTACTTAGTAATAAAACATGTCCTGTGTCCTACCTACCTTTCTGAAGAAGCTTGGTACAGGAATCTAAGAGAGAGCCAGCAATGATGACCACTGATGTGGTACCATCTCCTGCTTCTATATCTTGTGCCTTAGACAGCTCCACCAGCTAAGTAAACAGAACATGCTAAGTTGCTCAGTGAGAAATGTGAGGACACAGTAACATCTAAATGAAATATAAAACGAATGGCCTCGGGCGCCTGGGTGGCTCAGTTGGTTAAGCGACTGCCTTCGGCTCAGGTCATGATCCTGGAGTCCCGGGATCGAGTCCCACATCAGGCTCCCTGCTCGGTAGGGAGTCTGCTTCTCCCTCTGACCCTCCTCCCTCTCATGCTCTCTGTCTCTCATTCTCTCTCTCGCAAATAAA